GGCCCTCCACCATTGATGACTAAATAAGAAAATGCCTTACAGCTGGATCTCATTGAGGAATTTCCTCAATTGAGTTTATTCCAATGATGATTCTAGCATGTGTCAAGTTGACACACAAAACCAGCCAGAACAACACCAATCTATGAGTATAGCAGAATATACAAGAAATCATTTCATTGACTTATTTATACTAGTCATGTTTGTTTCTATCCTACATCTTTGAGCTATGATTCCTCTGAGTCCTTGACTTCAGTGGTGAGATCCATCTCATAGTAAGGGCCTCTAGTGGGGCAAGGCATTGGTTGATCTTACCCACAATATCTGAGCCATGTTTACTCCAACACATCTTGTAGGAAGGATAAATTGTAGGTCAAAGGTTTTGTCATTAGGTTGGTGTCATAGTCCCTTCACTGAAAGTCTTGCAAGATTGCAGGAGAGGGATAGTTCCATTAAACTAGTTTTCAAGCCCTTTTCAGAGATACACCCAGTTTCCAGTTGTTTCTCCTAGTACTATCTCCTTCCATTCTCCCATGACACCTGATATCTCCTGTTCCCATCCACACCCTCCCATTCAGATCAATACCCCTGTCCAACAGTGATGTCTATTCTATTTCCCCATCACAGTGAGATTCATGCCCACCTAACCTTGATATTTTTTTCATAGCTTCTCTGTGTCTGTGGATTGTAGCAAAGTTATCCTTTATTTACAGCTAGTAGCCATTTATAAGCAAGTTCATACCATGTTTGTCTTTCTAGGTCTGGGCCACCTCATTCAGAATGATTCATTTGTCAGTGAGGGAAAAAAAGACTGAAATTAAAAGCAGACAGGCTCAGCTTCTCAGAAACAGCCTTGTTGTCAAGAAACCAGATGACTTCTAGAATGGGTTAGAGTCCATTTTGAGCAGGCTGTTGTGAGGTTTATTGAAGTACAGAATTATGAATATCAGGTGTCGAATGCTCTCATGCTAAATGGCACATTACAAACTGAACTCTGTAGCCAGATCTACTGCACAGAAACAGGGATCACAGAGTTCACAGAGAACAGATGCAAGACCTTCAGGTTAGGAAAATAATGGAAACAGTGCATGTGGGTGTTTAGTGAGCACCAGTACTGTATACACAGCACTCTGGAAGATATACAGGGCAGTGAGAAGTCTCCTTAGACTCAGTCACTGACCTAACAGGGTTTACTACAGTGGATAAAATGGACTCTTTAGAGGGTGGAAGGATAGAAGAAAGCAAGAGCCCTAGACACTATATAACTGAATAGCCCAAGAGTGCCAAGAACAGCATTTGAACAGAACCTTACCCAACAATGAATTTATTTTAATAGCTTTTATGTGAAATGGCTTCCAATTTTTGAAACATGGTCTTATATTTTCTTACTTGTAGTTTTTTACAGATATGTGTTAGCCTTTTATTTTAGTAAATTCAGTGCATTTTAAATGTCTATTGGTTAATGTGTGCATAAAAGTATCAGTCACACAGAGATTTAATTTTGCTTAAAGAGAATCACTATGCAACACAGGCCAATCTCAAACTGACATACCCCTGCTTTAGCACCTCAAGTACTGTGAGTCTAAGTGTATGCCACCATACCAGTTCCCTCATGTATCTTAGAGATTTCAGGGTTTCTTTCCAGAGCTCTGCTCTGACCCCCATGACTAAAATAATTCTCCAAGTAGGAATTAGGATCACTTTTTGTAGTTTCAGAGAAACTGCAGTTGTATTTAACAAAGTGGGCAATTATACATTGATTTATAAGTATTTATAAGTATTATTTTTCACTAATTCCTCTCATTTGAATCCTGAATTGTTTTCCAATATATTTTAACTTATTTAAAATGACTCCTTGTTATTTAGTACACTTCCTCATTTTTATTTTAAAGGTTTTAGCTTGTAATTCAGGGTGGGTACTGAGGCATACTGCATTTTGGGATAAGATTTACTAGAAGTTACTAATGCCATGGAAAGACAGACAGCAGCATGATGGTCGATCAACGGAGAGTTCAGTCCCCAAACTCAGTGATATACAGTATGATGAGGGCTCTGAAGAGAAGTCAACCCCTTGTGGCAGAGTGACATTCTCTTCTTGGAGGTCTGAGAAGAAGGGTACTTGTACTTTGTAGCTCACAGCACTGACCTGCAGCAAGTCTGTGTTCCTGCACTGGGGAGGGTAGAGAATGCAGGATTGTTAGGATGTAAGGAAGAGAGGAAGAGGGTACATCTACTGCAGTGGATCAGTGTGGCATAAGACCTTCCTGTCCAGGAGTCTGGCATCCTGAGGTGAGACTCAGAAAAGTAAGAATTAAATGAGGATGGCTTCTGTTCTCCAAGAACTAGAAAAACATGCACAAGTTCATGGCCACAGATGACTAGCATTAAGGAAAGGGAAAGCCAGATGCTAACTTCCTCACTGAATAAAGAGATTAGGAAACAAGTGGAAGCCTAGAGAACAGAGTCCTGTCTAGTATAGACTGATGAGTCGTGCTCCAAAGACACATTTACGTTTTGTTAGTTCTCATGTGCATTTCTTGGGGTGATACCTTGGGCCTAAAGAAATAAGACAAAATATCTGGACATCAAAATGAGGAGGAAGAGAGACATCTAACCTATTCATTACACCTGTAACTCCTTCAAGGTCATGTGTCAGGGAAAATTAGTCACCACTAGATGCAAATGCTAGCACACCCATGAATATACAAGTCAGTGCACCTTCAAAAGCCCTGGGATTCCTGTGACTCATTTTTTTTCCTAGTGGGCACATCAATACTGTATTAATAAGGTTATGATACCAAATGGAGGTAATGTACTTAGAAGTCTTCACACACTGTTAGGCTTTTATTGAGCATTTAAAATGTATTGATATTAAATGTCAAAACATTCCCCAAATTTAGCATTGAATTGGGTGTATCTTCCAAATACATTTCTTTGATTATTTCTGTCTCTCTTTGATCCAATGTAAAAATGTAGATTACTTCTAAAGGTGTAAACCTAAGCTCTGAACTTCACTGCCATTAGATTAGTAAAAATCTGGCAGCATGAGGAGGAAATGGTTATTATCAGTGGCTATAAGATTTTGTTTGTTTGTTTGTTTGGGGTTTTATATTTCTTTTTATTTTGATAAACTCTCCAAGAAATTCTAAACTCAGGCTTCTTTTCTTTCCTAATATTTTGCTTTTTATTTTTACATCAAAGACCAAATTAGAAATAAAAAGAAATTAATTGGGAAGAATCTACAGGCATCCTCAGATTGCTGCTCAGCCCTACTTAAGGATATTTTCAGTTCACTTGAAGAAGATGTAAAACAGGAGATTTGTTCTAAATCAGGGGGAAGAAATGGGGGTTGAAGAAAAATTACTGTAAGGAATGCAAGAGGGAGGTTCAGGTACCCATGGTCATATGTGTGTTCTGGGAAGCTGCTGACCGCTTTCACATTGTAGTATGTCCCCAGAGACATAATGTGAGAGGGTTTTACTGTTGACGTTCCAGGCATAGACTCCTTCAATGTCACATACATGAAGGTTGTCACACTGGATGTATCCTGATTACTCATCAGAGACAGTGCACTCACTCAACACTTGAGTTCACACCAGACAATCACATTATCCACCAGTGTGACTGTCACCCTGTGTTTCAGCAGGACTCTGTGTTACAAAGGACCCAATGATATCCCCTTAAACAAAACTTGTAATTCATCAGTTTGGACTTCACACTGGCTTTAAAAAACAGCTGACTGCAATATTATCCTGTGTCCATCTGTCCATCATTCTTTCCCATCCCCATACTTCCCTCCCTTTCTTATTTCCTCTGATCTCTTTGTTGTCCCCAAGGGCTTATGTCTTCAACAAACTCTCCATCTGTGACCACAGCACTATTAACTCCAAAGTTAGAGCCCTAATCTTAAAAAACTATCTTTGTTCTCTACCATAGGCCTCCAGTAAAAGATATTTTTTCATGGGTTCCAGCCTGGACTGGGTGCCTGCTTCTGTTTGTTGTGCCTCATAAGGCCTGGGCATGAGGCCCAGTGTAACTTCCTGAACCTAGCTCAACTTTGGAGACCTGTCTTTTGCCATGACTTCCATATAGGAATGACTCAGTACAGCCCAACCAAAACCCGCCTCTGCCCAGCCACTACTAACATGACAGAATATTATTGGCCCTTATTCTTTACTCCATCTCAATCCAACCCAAGATTTCCACTCTCTATCTCAGCCCCATATAAGTTGCTGCCTGATGCAATAAACCGAGATCCTGCTTCGGCAGATTCCCGACTCAGTGTGTGTGTTTCTCCTTGGTGGCCAGGGCGCAGGTCTGGATAGTCAACACTCATCTTCATGCTCAGTACCAGGGAAATTCAGACAGGTCTGGCTTTGCCCCCGCCCTTTCTGTTAGAGAACCCGGCAGATTGGTGCCCCATGTGAGGAATTCGAAAGGTTTTGAGGATAGGCGAATCAGTCAGAGGGTGAGTGTACCCCCATTAAATATGGGGCAGTCCTCTTTTAAGCAAAGTCCTGCCTGGAGTCCCTGCAGGTCCTACATAAAAGCAGGGGCTTTAATTTTTCTGACAGTCAAGCCCTCCAGACATGGACTTACCTACTCAGGATCGCCCCATGGCTGCCCAAAGGCAGCCTCTTTGATTGGGACACCTGGAACAGGGTAGCTAGAAATCCTGATCCATAGAGCTCAGGTAGAGTAAGGGGAAATATCCCCTCTGGGAGCCATTGCAACTGTCACTGCCTTAAGGTGTTGTTTTCCTCCAAGGCCCTCCAAAGAGAAAGACTTTGTGAAAGTCGCACTTCCAAGTTAACAGTTTAGGGAGGAGTGCCCAGTTCAGGCTGAAAGAAACTAGGCTGCTAACTCCCCAATCCCCCTCACCTGTGGAATGCTTTCTGGCACTTCTAACCAGTATTCCACAGGCCTTCAGCAGGCCTACCACCCATCTCGAACAAGTGTGGGTGCTGGGCTGGCCTCTTGGGAGAAATTGGAGGACAACTTGCCTTGGCACAATACCCAGAGCTTAATCGCCACCCCATTGCTCTCCCTAGGATTCAGGTTGACCTTGTCTTTGACATCCATACGGAATCTCTTCTCCACATGGTTTTTCCTGTACTTAAGCAGACACTGGCTTTGCCTACAAAACAGAAGAGGGTTAGACCTACTAACAGCTGAAAAAGGAGACATCTGCTTGTTCTTACAGGAAGGGTTCTTCTTTTATTCCAAAAAGTTGGGGATCATCTGAGAGAAGATCAAAAAACTTCAGGAAAGCCTAGAGAGAAGACTGCAAGACATTCAAGATTATCCCCTGTGGACAGGCCTTCAAAGATTCTTACCCTGCTTGCTTTCCCTACTCAGACTCTTTCTTTTCCTTATTCTTCTCCCATTGGGCTTTGTATGTTCAATAAGATTCACAATTATTTACCAAAGATTGGAGGCAATTAAATGACATCAGCTCGAGGTATACTTTTATAGGCTGGCCATGTAGAAGTCTGGCCCCTTTTATGACTGGTAACCCTCATATAAGGACCCCTCTTCTACCCTTCACTTGACCAGAGATGGGCAAGATCTCAGACTGGCTGAGATGACCTAAGACAGGTCATGGAGTGGGTTCTTCATTAATGAGATACCTGGTACTCAATAACGGGTAAGATCTCCATGTGGGAAACAACCTAATACAGGGGCCATGTCTTCAATCTTCCTAATAAAAACAAAATGGGGAGATTTTGGGCCTCGTTGGCCCAGGTGTGAGGCCCAGTGTAATTTCCTGAGTCTAGCTCAAGTTTGGAGACCTGCCTTTGGCCATGACTTGTGCATATGAGTGACTCAGCACAGCTCAACCTAAACCCACCTCTGCCCAGCCATCACTAACATGACAGAATATTATTGGCCCTAATTCCTGCTCTGCCTCAACCTATCTCAAGGTTTTCACCCTCTATCAGCCCTATATAAGTTCTTGCCTGATGCAATAAAATGAGACCATGCTGTGACAGACTTCGGACTCAGTGTGTGTATTTCTCCTTGGTGGCCAGGGGTCAGGTCTAGGTCATCAACCCATGGAAAGTCCAGCAGATCCAGCTCTATCCCCGCTATTTTTGCCAGAGAACCTGGCATCTGTATTTGGGACTCTTAGGCCCAAGAGACTCATTAGCAGAAACGGAGTAGGGAGAAGGTAACAAAAGCTTGCAGTTGTTCCTGCTGTTAACTTAATGTTCTCTGGACTCAATGGCTTTAAGAACTCAACAGAAATTTTTACAGTCCAAGTAAGGTGTAAGTGATGCGATTCTACTAACAGAACAGACACTCGCAGAAAAGAAAAGGGATATTGAAAGTGAGGCACAAGTTAAGGGACTATGTGCCCTGCAAAGTTGTGGAATGTTTAAGTTCCTTGTGATCCTGTAACCCTAAACCAGAGCTAAAAGAAAAGGTTTAATCTTAGTAGTTACATAATAACATTGTGACAACTCAGCATAATGTAGAGCTGTAACTTTAAAGATGGACTTTATATTATGATGGGTAATCTGTGGATATAAAACAAACTGATGATTTATCTGTGTCCATAAAAATATTCTAAACTTTTTCTATTATTAGCAGCTGGACAAGAGATCTTGTTGATTTTCCCCAAGCAGAATAAAGATGATTTTTCCATATTTTGACTAACTCTTAGTATTGTGAAGTGCAAATTAACTATTCCACCTTCAAAAAAATATAAGATAGATGGTTACCATCTTTTAAAGGAAATAAAAACTCAGAATGGGGGTTGCCTGGTTCAGTAAGTAAAGTGCTTGCTGAACAAACAGGAAGACATAATTCAGTTCCCAGCACTCACATACAATCCAGACATGGTGGTTCACTCTCAGTGAGAGACCCTGTCTCTAAAACAAGGTGGAGAGCAATTGAGAACTGTGTTAGGTTGTTTGCTGGAAGTGAATGGGAGCAGAAAAAAAAATCATATTAAGCCAAACAAAATCAGACTCTGAAGGACAAATATATGTTTTCTTTAGTATATATCTTCAGGACTCTATATAGATACTTAAAATTATTATGTGTATATGACATGAAATTCAAAGTGAAACCTTCTAGGAAAACAAAGAGGAGTGGTGGAAGGGGAAGGCATAAAAAAGAGTAGGGGGTATGGGAGTATTCTAAACATACACGATATGCTTATATGAAAATATCCTTCTATGACACAGCACTCTATATAATGAATAAAGGCAATAGAATTATAAAAGCAATTTGTGATAAACAAAGAACATTTTTAAACTAGGCATTTGACATCTATCTCTCTGTAAATAATATTTCCATTTCGGTTAAACCAACTAGCATCACAAAGAACTCATAAAGCCCTAAAACTCACTGTATTTGTTACTTCCATCATTGCTGCAACAAATTACCCAGCCTAAGGAACAATTTATTATGATGTAATATGTATTATGATGACAGGAGTGTAAGGTAAATGGTCACTTTGCATCCGCACTAAGGAAACAGAGTGGGATGAATACTGGAAGTTCAATCAGTTTTTAATTTAGCCTGAAACTCCAGCTCATGCAATTGCTCTGTCCACAGTAAGATCTCCAAACTCCAGTAGTCCAATCCAGAAACTCCCTCATAGACATGTCTAGAGGTGTGTCTCCTGGGGGATTCCAGATCATGTCAATTCTAGAGTCAATACTATTAACTGTCACACTCTTCTAGGATAAAAAAAAAAGGTTTTGTGAATTAAAACCTCTCAAGAAATCAAATTTATAGTTTAAAAAAGCCTAAAAGATACTTCTTTTGATCCAGAAGACATTCTTACAGTGCCTGCAAATAATAAATAATATAAATTCTACAGAGTTTCTTTAACAAAATATGAAAGGAAGCATTTCCTAATTTATTCTATGAAAACAGCATTGTCTTGATAGCAAAACAAGTCAAAAAACAGTACAAATCAGAGAAACCACAGATCAAGATCCTCCATTAATTTAGATGTGGAACTCAATAAAAATATTAGAAAATAAAATCCAGGAATGTACCAAAGTAGTTTACTTGTACCAGGTGGAATTTGGCCCAAGAATAAAGGCTAGAGGAGACAGGCAAGGCATAAAACTTGGAAGAGTTCCACAACTGCCACTCAGAGAGATCATGTTAGCTACTACTAAGATGAGCAACTATGTGGGGAAATGATGTGTTGACAGAGGTTTCTGTCCTGCCTGGTCCCACAGCTATTCAGTCCCAAAGAAGCACACAGAGGCCTACATTAATTATAAACTGATTGGCCTATTAGCTCAGCCTTCGTATTAACTAGTACATCTTACATTAACCCCTAATTCTTTTCTGTGTTAGCCACATGACTTGGTACCTTTTATCAGTGAGGCATTCTCATCTTATATTCTCTGTGTCTGGGTGACAGCTGCAGACTGAGCCTTTCCTGTTCTCAAAATTCTCTGATTCTGGTCACCCAGCTTCTACTTCCTGCCTGGCTACTACCTAGTCGATGTTTTATTAAACCAACACAAGTGACAAATCTTTACAGAGTAAAAGGCCATTGTCCCACATCAGAAATGGGAGAGAAAGAGAAAACAAACTGTGCACTATGAAAAAAGTTAGAACTGAGGGTAAGGAACATCTTCATGTGAATAGGCTATGATGCCACCTGAGGCCATGGTGATGTCATGGCCTGTTCTGCCACAGAGGGCCATGCCTGGGTTTATGTCCTTGGCTCATGTTAACTCCAAAGGCCATTTAGACTTCCCTCATCTGAGTTTATACCTAGGGCCATGTTGATGTGAAGACTGTATAGAATTGGCTCTGCCTCTCTTGAAGGTCCTACCCCTTACTTCTGTTGCATGAGATATCTGGGTCTGGGCACATGAGAGTCAGAGAGTTGGCCCCACCCATTTCTGGCTGCAGCATGTGGGAAAGGTGGCCCTTGTCATACATGCAGAAGAGCAGGCAGATGGACAAACTCAGTTACCACCCAAGCTCCCTGATTTCTTGCTGTTTACATCACAGTTACGTTCTGCAGTATCTAGTATTGGCATTGGTGCTCTCACACCCTTTCTAGGTTGAGGCTCATTGGCTGTATAGCTGCATTTCAAGTCACTACTCTTGTGCAATCAAGTCCTTGGAAGAGTCATTGCAACGCATCGTCATAGATTTTGCAAGCAAAACAGAAAAATAAATAAAATAAATAGCCTTTTGTAGCTTTATGTTATTAATATAATTAATTCTGTGGATAGGGACATGTGCCCATGACATGAAAGAAGTTACTAAGATAGGTAGAATGAATATATTTCATAATCTCTAGAAATTATCGTAAAGGTATGCATCAAACAATGAAGCATTAATTTCTGGATATCTTTATTCATTACAAAAGTAAGCCAATGAATTAATGAATATTTAATTGATTATATACAACTGCAATATAAAACTATTTCTCTAAATCTGACCTGTTTTCTATTTGATGTCTATCTAGTTTTAAAACTTTAATAAGGAGAGCTTTCTATGTGAAATTTATTGATTAAAATATTTGTATTGTGAGAGTGTCTGATATTGTCATAGTTACATTTTAAAGGAAATTCTTTAACAATATTCTATAAGATGCTAAAATTACAGAGGTTCTTCTTTGTCTATGTCTTTAATGCACACAGTACTCTTGTGTTCTTTAAGGATTTCATAACTCTGCCTTGTGAGTTAAAGGTCTCATTCTAGTTAATCTAATATTTCTCCTACAATAAGCAAGAACAATGGCCTCAGAGGTCCACATTCCAAGCCCTGTGCTTTTTCTTCTAATATCTGCGAATGCAGGCATGCACGTGACACACAGAAAAAATATTCATACATGCGCATACTCATATATCTAAGATTAAAATAAATAATGCGTTACAATGACTCTCCCATAGCACCCCTGGACAACTTGGTTCCAAATTATGTGCCACCATTTATGAATGTACGCAGTGTTCTTTTGTCTCTTGGAGATCATCGATAAGTCTCTTGTGGTAGAGACTCAATGATATCCTTGATACTAAGTTATACAGGGAAATAAACACTATTTTAATGATCGCACTGCACACCATTGCAGATTTTTTTATTTTCTGATACAGGACTCAATTAATACCAAGTGGAGTGACACTATGTCCCCATTAAACACCATGTTTAGTTGTGCTCTGTAACCCAGGACAGCACTGTTTGCTAGACCTTTACATTATGGTCAGTTTCCACTTTGCCTCCCTTGTCTGGAGATTCTTTATCTCATCTTGAAGTCTTTTGCGCTCCTGCTGGAATTCCTCATTTAGTAGTCGAGCCTGTTCCTAAAAAGTGACAAGTGGAGACAACATATCCCCATGTTCTATGCAGGTTCCATATGAGTTAATTCTTATCATTTAATTTCTTAAATTTTCTCTAACCTTAATTTTTTTATTATAATTTTAACCTTTTTTTAGTCATAAATAAATTTTGATATTCAAAGGTTTTCTTTTATTTTTCCCTTTTGGACGTTTTTATCCCCATACTCCAAATTTTGCTTTTTCTTGGGCAGCTGTGGTCACTACTCCTGGGGATTTCATTAGCTAAAAAAATATAATATGAGGGTTTTTTCTCTTTGGTTGTCTATGGCCCCCATAGGTAATCTTAACCTTGTGTTTGACTTCAGATTTTAGCATTATAGACTTTAATACATCCACCTACTAATATCTTATATAAATATGCAGCACAGGAATGAATTCTTAAAATCTAACTAAGCCTCCGAATCTTACACTAAGAAATGTAGTCTAGAGGCTGGGGGATGACTGTCAGTAGCACGCCTGCTGTACAAGTGTAAGAAATAAGCTGGAATCCTGAACACCCAAGTAAAAGATGCAGCACAGTTCTGTAATACCGTGCTGGGAAGGCAGATATAGGCAGATTCCTGAAGTTCATTGGCTAGTTAGGCTAGCCACATCATTGAGTTCAAGGTTCAGTGAGAAACCTTGTCTCAAAAAATAGGTGGTGAGTAATAAAAGAAGATTGGAAGTACATCTAGCCTTCACATCCATGTGCATACATGAAGAGACACTAACATACACATTCATGTTCACACACACAAAGACAAAGAGAGAAGAGAGAGAGAGTAAGAATAAGAGAAGAGGTGAGGAAGAAGAAGGAGAAGGAGGAAGAAGAGAAAAAGAAGAAGGAGGAGGAGGAAAAGGAGAAAGGAAAAAAGGAAGAAATTTAATGTAGCCCTCCAGAACTTGAGAGCAGAGGTATCAGATGATAGTTAAGAAATTCAGAGTCCCCACCTGAAAATAATGGATTTCTACATTCTGGCTGAACACAAATTGGGAACAGAGTACAGGAAAGAGGAGGGACAGACAATCACATGACTCTTAGGGCTGAGGAGTTCCTCTCCTCATAAACACACTCTCAGGAATAAATTCATACCAGTAAGACAGAAAACTACCATTGTGGATTCCACTATGGGAAGCATAGTTTAATTTGTTGTATGTATCTTATAAATAGTGACCTTTTGTTTGTATGTTTGTTCATGTGGGGGGACAGGGGCTATTTCCCTGGTTGGCTTTAAATTATATAGCTGAGGATGATTTTGGCCTTTTGATCTTCTTGCCTCCACTTCCCAAAGTACTAAAGACTGTATATTTTTTAATCTTATATTAACTTGTGTTTCTGTCTTCTGTATAATATGGATATAGTTCTTGGTTCATGGAGTCTTAAAAAGAAATAAAGAAAAACATAAACATAGCTGCCATAAACATATATTACTTAAGGACTTAGTGTGACAACATTACACATTACTATTTTAATCAGCAGACATGGGCAACAAACTCAAGCAGGATTTAGAAATAAACAGCCCAAGAGATTAGGCTTGGTCAGGCTTTAGGCTCCATTACCGTTCATAGTGAACAGAGAGCAAGAGACTGGATAAATGGCTCAGCAGAAATGTGTGTGTTACTGGCTAGAATTCAGTTCCAATTATCCAAGTCAGGTGACTCACAAGCACCTCTAACAAGCTGCAGGGGATCTGACTTCCGCTTTGGGTCTCTACATATACTAAAATCACATTAGCAAATGTACACACACATATAAACACACATGCACACACACTTTAAATATTTTTAAATAAAGAGAATATAGATGATCATGCAATTTAAATACCTGAAGCTTGTTCTCAATGTCCTGCTGTTGCTTCTCTTTCAGTTGGGCCTGTTCATTCTCCATCTTCTCAGTCAACTCTTTCACATGCTCCTGGTAAAACTTCTCTTTCTCTTTCATCAACTGGTTCTTCTTCTGATGCATTACCTCCAATAATTTTGCTGTAGCCCGTGCAGCTTCAGCACCCACATGCTCCACTGGGGGAAAAAAAAGCAAGAAGGAAGGTGACAATGCATCATGTGTTATTCTTCTTCCTTACCTGCGTCACTGTTACTGATGACGTCATAGTACTACCTTGGCTGATACCAGTCAGTAAGACACAACTTTGATTTTAGCTATGGTTTAGGGTCCCAGGTTTACAAATAATTTAAACATTCCACAGCTTTCAAAAGAACAGAGTCTCTTAACTGGTGACTCACACTCAATCTCCTTTTCCTTTTCCGTCAGAGTCTTGTCTGTCTGCAGAATTGCATCAGTCACACTCTCCTTGGATTGCAAAAATTTCTGCAGAGCCTTTTCAGCCTTCAAGTCCAGGAAACAAGAAGTTAATATCAGAAATTACTGGATGCTTTTATGCCTGTCTTTCTACCCTCCACTCCTCCAAAGATGCCACAGAAACAGGCACATGATCTAGGATGGACCCATCCCACTAAGGAATGTCTTTATTGTAGGCCCATGTTTTGTATAAGGAGTATCATTTGGGTCTTTTGCAATACAAAGAGTCTAGCTAAAATACAGGGTACAGCCATACTGGTGTCTAATGTGATTGTTCAGTGTGAACTCAATTGTTAAGTGAGTGTATGTTTTCTGATGAGTAAGCAGAAAGCATTCCCTATGATAATCTTTTTATATATGATGTTGACCTTATACGTGGTATGCAAACAGTATGATCCTCTCCCAGACATTCTGGGTGTAACTCTGCAATCTGAAGATCAGCAGCTTCCCAGAACACATACATAACCTTGGTCACCTGAACCCCCTTTCTGGGTTCCTCATAGTACTTCTTCTTTAACTCCTTTATCTTCCCATTGAAAAGACAGTATCCCCCTGGTTTAGAGTAAACGCCCTGCTTCACTTCATCTTCTAGAGGACTGAAAATATCCTGAAGCAGAGCTGAGCAGTGATCTGAGGATGCTTGTACATTCTTCTTATATAATTCTTTCCCCTTTGTTTCCAATTTGGCCTTTAATGTAAAAATGAAAAGACAAAAAATTAAGAAGGAAAAAAAGCCTGAGTTACAAATTTCTGGGAACATTTCTCAAAACACAAACAAACACAAAACAAACAAAGGAAAACTTATGAGCATTCACTATAACGACATCGCCTCCTCTGATGCCAGCTTACTGATGTCATCCCTTGCTCCTTGGCTGTGATGGTTAGAGCAAAGTGATCTTTTTTTTCAGACTGGACTAAAGGTGGAACACAAAATGAACATGGCTCAACATTAATTGGCCTCTGATAACTAAGGCTATGATTTTTTAAGATATTGACTTGAATATTGGATCAGTCAACAGACACCGTATGTGCAGCTTGGTCAGACATGACTTACTTACTTTTCTATACTTAATTCAGTGAAGTGGCATATTGCCAGCTTATTCATGCAAGGAGAAATATTTTAAAGTTTTAAGTTTATGAAAATCTGTTATTTCTGATTATTGTGATTATTAATGGGTACTTGTTACTAATTCAAAGTCCAGTAACAGTTGATCCCCTCCAACACTCATTTCATTTCCCCATAGCACTGTGCCTTCCAAAATCTATATCCAGGTAAACATGAGGGAAATATTACCACTAATTCCATTTGGAACACTTGATCAATATCTTTGAAGGAATTATCCCTGAAGATCTTGATGGCTTCATTCTCAATGGCCCTGTGTAGATGCAAAAGCTCCTGGAGGGTTTCCGTGGGCAGCTGCAACTTCTGGCTCATCTTCTGGTCATAGTGGGCAATGGCCTTTTGCACTGCAGCTGCATTCTCTGTCTTAGACAAAGCCAGGACAGCATTCTCCATGCATGGAAGACCACCACTGCTGATGGTGTTGACATAGGTTACTACTAAACTCTCTAGTCCTGTAAACAGAAAATAGATGACAATGTTTGCTACAGGTGGATGAAGGAAACACTTATCTATGTAATTCTGGATATCTCTATCATTGATGTCTGTAAGGCACCAGTGTCCTTAGCATCATTTGGAAGAGCATCTCAGCCTCTACCTCACATTGTTGAGATAAGATCATCCTCTGTGCAAAGATCCTCTCATGAGGTATTTAAGACAACAAAGACAAAGCATGCTGGATGAAGATTACAAGGATCTGTGTCTATGGGATTTTGTGCCCATTTTAATTCACAATGGCATCTCTCATGAACATGGAGAATGTTTGCCTGTGTTGATCAGTTCTTCCCATAGTAAGCATTCCATTTAAATTTGGCATAAAGCATGCTTTCCTGGTCAGAAATTCTCCAACAAGTTGATTACAAAAAAACATGGCATTACTAAATACTATCTGTAGGTTATTAGCACATGCTCTCTGTATACACTGATGTGACAATGACTATCTCCATGCAGATTCTATTGTACTTACATATTAAGAACCACATATGTTTAGTCGATATCATATTGATGAACACAGAACCAGATTGCTGGGTAATTTAAAAAGGATTTTTTTTTTCTTTTACCCCCTTTTCTCTATTCCCAACAAGAAAATGTGGCAGACAAAATCTATTATAAATGCTGGCACCATCTGCGGCTTAGCACTACAGTGGTGATGGGTCTACATTTCTTCAGGGCTGAAGTGGGTCATTGCCATCTCATAATAGCATGGCCTAGACAGTGAGCAGGACTGGGCAGAGACTCACGTGGTCCATTGACCTTGATGCCTCCTGAGAGCATTTTAACCTTGGAAGAGCTGAACACATAGGAACAGAACTCAGTCACTTGTTCTATGAAATTGGAGTTCAGGTCTTGATCCTGCAGTGATTCCAGCTGGCCAAGTTTCTTTCCGTGTGCTGGCCGCTCAAAGACAAAGCATTTCTTCTTTGGGAAGAATTTACGGATACAGAGCCGAGGCAAATTAAACTTTTGTTCTTTATCTCTTTGGCCAGTACCTAGACGGAGCAAAAGCAAGATTTTCGGTCAGGATATTGAAGGGGAGTATATGTTTTTAAATTTAGTCATGTAAGCTTTTGAAATCCTAGCACGCTGAAAGCTGAGGCAGGAGGATCATAAATTGAGGCCAGCCTGAGTCACAGAGTGAGATCCTGCAAATACAAAACAAGAACAGAAAAGGGAAATTTTCTGCTTTAAGGATCGTCAGTCTAGGAATTTCCTGAATGCTCTTTTAGGATTTGCAGGGGAAGTGACCTCTATTCTAAGCATTCAAATCACTTAGTGTAGCTGGACCATATATATACACAATATGCAAAACCCACAAGCACAGCATCATTTCATTTCCAAAGACACCTGGCACGTGAACAGTTGTGTGTGGGCCACACTTTTCCAAACATATATACATATATAATCTGAAAATATATAATAATTGTTGTATACTGTATTTTGTGTTTTGGCATAAAAGCAAGTCCAAAGCAGGAACTCGAATTGATCATGGTACATGGAAAGGTGCATAAAATAAATTTGCTCCTAGAACAAAACAGAAATGTTTAACTCAATCTATTAACTAATACACTAATCACTAGTCTTAGGAGTAGCTAGTTAGAAGAAATAGGAACTGTAGGTTAAGAAGATTACAGATAGAAAAATATGAATTTTTATTATTGTTTCACATCCCATTTAGTAGTTGCTAAGTCTCTTACCCTGTATAAGCCTCAGGGAATTCTCTAGGTATTCATCTGGAGAAATAGTTTCTCCATTTGCTTTCAGCTCAAGAGAGAAATCCCTCAGAGCCCACACAAAGTCCGGGAAGAAGCTCACAAACTCATCTGAGTCTTCTACCTCATCCTGGTCAGATGAGGATCTTGTTCTGATTCTGTCTGACAGTTCTGTCACATAGCTGAATGGCTAATTAAAGAAAACCCATGAAACAACCATAGCACCAACCAAAGTTCTAGGGTGTCCATCAAGTATTAGTTCTACTTTTTCCCAAACCCTAGCCCAAAAGTTTCATTTACCTTGTTCTTAACATCAGTGTGAATGCTTTAGGTCATACATTGTAGAATATTCCTTTACACTCTGTGAAAATGTATCATTGTGATTGGTTTAGAAAAAACTAAACAACCAATTCCTAGGCAGGAGGTATTGCAGGGACTTCTGGACAGAGAGAGCTCTGGGAGGAAGAAAGGTGGAGTTGCCAGTCGGATGGAGACAAAGTGGGATGGGAAGTATAAAGATAACCAAGCCATGAAAAAGAATCTAAATTAAAAGAAATTGGTGTAAGAGGTCCTTCTTTCTATGTGTTGCTTGTATTGGTTAATTAATAAAGAAACTTTGCCAAGACAAGGTAGGAGAGTCCTTCAAAATTCCTGCTTCACAGAAGGTTTGTCAGATATTCTTGGCCTGTAGGCTGAGGATGAATGACACAATTATACAGAGGAAACTTGAGGTAACTGTCCAGGGAGCCAGATGTCTCTGTCATTTCTAAAGTTACTCAAGTAATAGTTTATCCTTCTTGGGTCTCTGATAGGGACTGGAGACTATATCATTATAGTTTTACTTGTTATCAAATTCAAAAACAACAAATAGAAGATGTAACATTTATATGGTTGAGAAACATAAAAGCTTAAGTTGTTTATCTAAAAAGATGTTATAAGGTCTGAAAAGATTTTTAGAATGGTAATACAATTTCTGTCAGAAACATGGTTTAGGTATAAAATTTGAACTAAGATAGGATAGATAATGGAGTGTTTTCTCTAAATTTGCCAAATATAAATGTACTGGATATTGTGAATGTAATTCTTACCTGATGACTGTTCTTATTGTATATAGTTTTTACTGTGTTTGTTGCATGGAAGTCACTTGTTCATCCCGGCTGCCCAGAACCAAAATAAGCACACAGAAATTGTATTAGTTAAATCACTGCTTGGCCCATTAGCTCTAGCTTCTTATTGACTAACTCTTATATTAATTTAACCCATTTCTATTAATCTGTATATCACCATGTGGCAGTGGCTTACCAGCAAAGATTCAGCATGTCTGACTCTGGTAGCTCCATGGCTTCTTACTTTGTCTACCCTTCTTCCTCCCAGCATTCAGTCCAGTTTTCCCCACCTACCTAAGTTCTGCCCTATTAATAGGCCAAGGCAGTTTCTTTATTCATTAATGATGATCACAACACACAGAGGGGACTCTCACATTATGTGTTAGAGTTAAAATCTTTCTTTTTTTTTATTTAGACAAAAGGGGGAAATGTTGTGAGATATTTTATTGCACTGTGTAAAGATGTGTCACTGTGATTGGTTTAATAGAAAGCTAGATAGCCAATAGCTAAGCAGGATATCTAGGAAGAATTTCTGGACAGAGAGAATTCTGGGAAGAAGAAAGGTGGAGTTGCCAGCTAGATGAAGAGGAAATAGACAGGGCAGTGCAGAGTAAAAGTTACTGAGTCATATAAAAGAACACAGATGAAAAGAAATTGGTTAATTTAAGTTATAAGAGCTAGTGGAACAATCCAAAAATATAGGCTGAGCTTCTAAACTTAATAATGTCTCCATGTCATTTTTCATGGGCTGGCAGTCCAAAGAAAAATCTGTGTGTGTGTGTGTGTGTGTGTGTGTGTGTGTGTGTGTATAATTTTTATGTTATTTGTTGCAATAACCAATACCTAGAGGTTCTTGAAGGTAGGTCACCCCATTCATACTGATGTAGCTCGAATTCTAATTGGTCTTGATAATAAAAACCCAGAGACATATATAGGGGTTAGTGCTGAATGATCAGAGAAGCAGAGCAGCCACTAGTTTTTATCTCTGCTGAATTCTTAGACCAAAGGGGAGATCCTGTTCCTACAAATCCTCAGACTGAGTGCTCTGAGCTCCTGTCTCCTCCTAATATTCCTCTTTCCACTCAGCCTTATCACTCCTGTCTACACCTCCCTAGTGCAGGGATTAAAGGCATGTGATAGATACCAAGGGCTGGGATTAAAGGTATGAACTATCACCATCTGACTCTGTTTATTTTTGAGACTAAATTAATCTCATGTAGACCATGGTGGCCTTGAAATCACAGAGATCTGTCTGCCTCTGTCTCCCGAGTCTTGGGATTAAAGGCCACTGCCTGGCCTCTGTAGCTAACTAGTGACTTAGTTTTATACCCTGATCTTCAGGCAAACTTTATTTGTTAGATCACAAACAAAACATCACCACACTGGTGCTCTTTGGAGTCACAGAAAGGATACTGCAGCTGGTCCATGGCCTGCTGGTTAATGGTTCCCATACTGTTGTACACAAAGATGCTGCTTAGAAGTATAGCCAAAGCAAAGATCCAGCAGTCATTCTGGTTGTCACCCTGGAAGTCAGAATACACGTGGGTCAGGGGTATGTTTTGTTCTCATGTCACTTTTCAGATCAGTAGTGGTAAAATATATTCACTGCATTAAAAGGGATTTTAGAGTTCTACTGAGGTTAAAAAAAAATGAAACCTTTGTGGCCAATGCATGGTACAAAACAAAAGAAAAGAAACAACAGGAAACCTACAAATGCCGTCCAAAGTACTTGCAGGGTGAATATTCTTTTGATTTGTGATTTTATTTGTGATGCTTCTCACTAGTGCTGCTTAGTCTGTTGTTAGTGTTTCAATACTGAAGACTAGCACCCTGCTGTTCTATGATCAGGTATTATGACTAGTTCCCTCCTCTTTGTTAACTACACATGACGGCATGTCACATAAGTAAAAATGAAAACGATGCTATAATGAAGTTTAAACTCTGCGTGAAAAACTACAAGGCTTACAGTCCTACTTATGTCCTTAGAACCCACATGGTGGAAAAAGTAACTGCACCCAAATGTACTCTAACCTCTGTATGTGCAATGTAGTACATGTACCATGCACAAATATTGCACTCACACATATACTTAAAATGCATACACGCACGCACACACACACACGGGAACACAATACACATACAAATGAACACACTAGAATTTAAAGCACCCTAGATAACAGTATATAATATTCAGAGATGAAGGGATGAATTGCACACTGAGCCCTCAATCCTTACTTTCTCCACATCTCCCAGGCCCTCAGTATCAAGCAGAACTAGAGTGTGGTCTGCCTTCTGGGGATGAGGCACACACCACATCCAGATCCCATTGGTGTGAGACTGTACTGTGGAGCCCAGAGAGAAGCCTGAAAAGCAGAGAGGAAAGAGGGATCAGACATGTGGAAACAAGTGCTTTAAGAAAATGATGATAAAATTGGCATAATTGATCAGGAAAGATGCCGCAGTGGTTAAGTGTGCCTGCTGCTCTTGCAGAAGACGAAAGTGTGGTTCTCAGCATCTATGCAACAACGCACAACTGCCTATAACTATAGTTTCAAGGAAACCTATGCCCCTTCTAACATCTATGAATGCCAGGCATGCACATGGTACACAGGCTGTGGACAGACAGCAGGACACTTTTTCCTAGACAACGTAAGGTCAATGTTTTCCATGCGCCTCTTCCACGAGAACCTTTCACTTTCCCCTGGCGAAGCCTGCTGTTCTGATACTTCTGCCTCCTATGCTATGGAGACCTGGGTATGACTGTATATGGACTGGTTCTTGTCATTTTTAATAGATTTGGAAGGTGTTTGGTCTGTCCTTAAGTATAATTTATTTATCCTTCTGAGATCTATAATAGTATTGATGGCTAGGCTAGCTACAGCTTTGTTAGGTTGGCAATCAGAAAAATGTTCTAAGATATATAGAAGTCTGGGGATATAAAAGGTCATAAGCTTTAAGGGTCTCAGAAAATAATTTAAGATATAAATACAGGTTATAAAAGTATAAATAAATATTAAGTATAAAAATCTTTTAAATTTTTCACCTTCTATGTTAGAATTCTGATCAATCTGATAGAGCAATGACTGCTTACTGTTTGGGCCACAAGCTCAATTTTTTAAATTTCTTTTGGTTGTCTTCTGAATGTAGACTTACATGCTTTTAACCCAAATTTACAGTGTTTGCTAGGACTCAAAGGTATAAGTCTATTTTAAAGATATCTGTTTTACAGATATCTGTTACGTGCTTTTTCTATGAAATGGATTTTGATATGGGCCTAAAAATTTCAAATGCATTATTTTCCTTTAACTACATATATTTTAACTTCTGTTCTCAGTTTGAGCTAGTCTCAACAGGTTTTCACCAAGCTAGCAGACATATCAGTTGCTGACTAAAATCTGTTTCAAATGACTGCAAACCCTGAACTTGCTGAAAGCTGATATGGACCAGGTGAGCGATGTGACTACTCCCTGACTCTTCAACTGAGTCTGCGAACCAGACTCTCCTGATAAATACCCCATTGCCTGAATTCCCTATATGCTTTTGACTAGAATTTCAGCCATGTTAGCCCCTGACAACAATGCCCCAAAGTCAGCCCAGTTACAGAAAGGAATATATCATCCTGTGATCCCTGGTTGAAATGGTAAGTCAAAAGAAAACTCCCTTACCTAGGGGGACTATATGCAACACTGGATAGAAAAATTTTGTTTCTATGTTGACCATTCAGGATAATAAATATCCATGGCCAAAATTCAAAAAGGACTGGCCAAATACAAAAAAGAATGAGAGGCAAATCCTCTCTTCATATTAATCTTTCTCCTTACTTTTGAGAAATCTTAATTTAAATCTTTATTTAAATTGCATCTTAAATAGGCTAGTACAATTTATAAAAGAAAGACTTGGGACAATTCAGCTAATGGCAGCCATATATTAATGAGTGGCTTCAAATACAAGGAGATAAACTTATTACCAGCCCTTGTCCAAGGAAACCCAGAGGGATTTAATAAAATTTGGTAAATTAAAGCAATATTGAGATCCATGATTGGGCTCTTATAGTCACAAAAAAAGAGGAAGGAATGGGAATGTGAGGACCTAACTTTGCAAACTCCATTTTCAAGAAGGGGCTTCATCTTAAACCATATAATGAGTGGTGGGGCAATCTCAGCTCCATAAATGTGCTGTGATAACTGAATTTGAATGGATACCCTGAAAATAGTCAATTATGGAGCTAGGGAGCAGGGCCGTAAAATATAATGAGGTCCAGATATTCCAAGGAGACATGCTGTCCTTGAAGATACCTTGTCAGTTATTAATGACCCTTTGTTAAAATTTTCACGCCCCATAACTGACCAATAGCTTTAGAAACTACCTTTCCCTATGTCCTCCTTACTTAGTTCCAAGGCAAAAAGACATGAACTCCCCTGATTATGGCATTTCCCCTTCAAAAGTTCTCCCCTTTCCCAGGCTCACCACTGAACTTCCCTTACCCACTGTATGTGTGTGCTGGAACTGTGATCCAAGCTAGAGTTTGTACATTAAAGACCTCATGCAATTTTCATCAGAATCCAGGCTCTGTGAATTCATTTGGGCATGAGTAACAAGTCCATAACAAGTTCAATTTCATTTTGAGGCCAGGGCAGAATGCTCTTGTTTTGAATGTAAAATTTCAATCGCAGGCTCATGTATTTGAACACTTGGTACACACTTAGTGGTATTATGTTCGGACCTATGGAAGCATTAGGAGGTAGGACCTGACTGGCAGAGGGCAGGCCTTTGAAGGTTCTTACTGGCCTTGCTTAAGGCCCTATGCTTTCTGCTTTCTGGTCAATCACGATATGAACAAGCCACAAGCTCCTACCAACACACATATAGCCACAAAGTTCTGTCCCCCCAGACATAGTGGACTGATATCCCCAGAACTGTGAAGCAAAACAAATCCTTCTTCCTTACATTGCTGCTGTCAGGCATTTTATCCATGATAAGACTAAAACAACCTGGCCTCAGACAGGTGTCTTTATGGGCATCTTCATGCTACGATCGTTCAGAGTACTCAACTGTCCTGACTACAGGTGAATGGATAAGGTAATTATGACATACTTTACCAATGAAGCTCAAAAAGAAAGAATTTTTATACACTTTTCTCAAAGTGAGAAAACTTAAAGGTATCATGCTAAGTGAAAGAACCAATCACAAAACCCCCATATTTTGTAGAATCCATCTTAAGTGACATTCCTAGGACATTTGTACTGACAGACAGAGCGTGTGGAAGAATGGGATAAGGATGGACAATGAGCTAGTTCTAGAGAAGGAGGGGAGATACACAGATGCATACATTTAGCACAGAAAAGTATACTTAAAAAAATCACAAAGATAAATCTTATATAATTTACAATAATAAAAAGCCAACATATATAATCCAGATACAGGCAAACTTTTTAAGCATTAAAGACCCACTGATGCTACTTGAACGTTTTATCAATGCGTTAATGCTAATTAACAAGTAATTAATTCATCTTTATTACCTCCTTTCTGCTTCTGGGGAAGGAACCAGCTGTGGTTTAAGATGGGAAACCAGGAGTTAGATGTGGTGGTGCATCTAGCTGTCATCAGCACTCAGGAGACCAAGGTTAGATTATAAGTTCAAGGTCAACAAAACTATGTACTGAACGAAAGGCCTGCTTGTGCCCTAAAGCATGACCTTGTCTCAAAAACAAAGCAAACAGATAAAGCAACAATAACAATGACAAAAGGGATGCCAACATCCAACTATGACCAAAAGAATAAATTCTTCACACTCTCATGCAAGAAGCAGACAATGTGAGTGGACACAAGGGTACCAGCATAGCATAGTGGAGGCACTCACCTGCATTCTTCCCAGCCAGCCTGTTCATCAAGTAGGATTTGCCTGTGCAGTAGAAACCCACGATGGCCACCACCACCACTGGCTGCTTGAAGGCAGATAGGATCCGCAGAGCCTCCTGGTTGGCTACCAGTTGGCCTTTCACATTCTCAATGAGGCACACAGGGCCTGGCATGTGGTCCTCTGAGGCCATTGTTCAGGCCCGTCCCCTGTCTAGAAAGGGAGAGATGAGATTACCTAGAATCTATTCTTTTTACTCACAAGGTAGAGTGATGAAATTCTCAACAAAAATAACAGTGTTAGGTACATCAGAGACAAGGCTGAGGGAGAAGCCATATAATTTTAGAGTCTTCTAAACTATTATTTAAGAATTTCCTTTAGAATTACTATATATTACTTACAAGAATTTCCTTTAGAGCCGGGCGGTGGTGACGCACGCCTTTAATCCCAGCACTCAGGAGGCAGAGGCAGGCGGATCTCTGTGAGTTCGAGACCAGCCTGGTCTACAAGAGCTAGTTCCAGGACAGGCTCCAAAACCACAGAGAAACCCTGTCTCAAAAAACCAAAAAAAAAAAAAAGAATTTCCTTTATAATAAGATAACATTCTACTGGGCTTACATCAGAAATATCCCATTTTATTTAGCACTGAAAATTTTTCTTATTCAAGATTTTACACTACATATCAAATAAAAAACAGAATCAGATTTAGAGAAATTATTTTACATTGTTGCTATACACTCAGTTAAATATTCATTTATTCATTGCCATTATAAGGAATAAATACCCCAACAGGAATAACACTTCTTTTTGATGCATGTTTTTTCAATAATTACTAGAGATTATAAAATACATTCATTTTACCTATATCATGGGTATGAGTCATCCGCAGAATTAATTACATTGCCATTTCAGAAAAAGCATAAACATAGAAAAAACATTACATGTTTCTGTTTTGCAAAATTTATGAAATTATGTGACAGTGACACTTACAAGGACGTGGTTACACATGAGCAGTGTTCTGAAACTTAAGCAGCTATGCCTCAAATGCGCCTAAACCCAGAGAGGGTGTGTGAGCACCAATGCAAATGCTGGATATTGCAGAAAGCAGAGAGGGTGTGTGAGCACCAATGCAAATGCTGGATATTGCAGAAAGCAGCTGTGCCGTAAAATAGCAAGAAATCAGGGAGCTGCTCAATACCACAAGAGAGGAAATGTTTCAAAGAATTATTTCCTGCCATTCTCCTTTAGGTTTTCAGTTTCGTTTTCACTTGGTAGAGAAAGTGGGGACATAAAGAGGAGGCAGAGAAGCACTGGGAATAAGAGACCAGGAGCTGACCAGTCATCAAGCAAGAACGTGGTGACTGAGAATGGTGCCCTTCTGGGGATCTGGATGCCAAAAGGCAGGAACGACAGCCTGAGGACCTGAAGTTGGGGACAAGATAAGTAGACTTGTCCTCAGTCTTTTGTTCCCCACCTTTAAGAGAACGCCCTTCACTACAGTATAAGAGCTTGTTTTGCATGAGAGGGTTAAAAACTACATATGAGGAATAAACCAGTCTTCCTACTGAAGGAAGAAATTCTCTTGGTAGCCAAGATCAGATGTGTGATGGTCAACGGCCCTGACCTTCATCTTTCACTCTGAGTTTCGTCTGTGACCCAAGGTTCCCAAAAAACAGACTCAACAATGTCAATGAACCAACAAGGCTGACTGACTGACTAGATTTTGGATGAACGTAGAGAGCTGATTGTTGTAAAGTACGAAGCCAGATTTTCCTGGGCTATCTTTAGCTGCCTTCATGGTGATTTCTTGCATCAGAATACCTGTAGCAAACTGCCCCATTTTCCCCTAATCTGCCTGCCTCACACTGCCACCACTTTTTTAAAAATACCTAAATCTATGACTTTCTTTATTCTGTTCCCACAGAAACTTGCCAAGTTGGAGCATGCTGTGTGTAAGCTGATCATTCATTTTCGTCACTAGAACAGATCATATCTCTTCTTCCTTTTGTGTTCTTACTGTGTTAACTCACTTTGCCCTTCACCAAGCCAGCAGCTGATCACTGTTCTGTTTCCCCTCATGAAAATCAGCCACAGGCATCCCTTTCAGTAGGAGTGGGAAGGCATCAACTCTGCTCCATCACTGACCATGGTCATTTCACTGTGTCCATCAGCAGACATCACGAGCATAGAGAAAGGCAATCCCAGTGTGTTTCTCACTCTTGCTTAAACTGCACATATTCTGGTCCCTCTCTTAAATCAAGCCCAATAGTGCCCTTCGAGACTGGTTGTTCTGATCACACCACTCAGAGTTCATCTGCTGCTGTGCCCCAGCCAGGCCCAAGAACAGCTTTTTCTAGTCACAGTAGTTCTACAGAAAATGAATTAACTCTCAAAAACGCCATCTCATTCCTGCTCAGGATGGCGGCCCCATGTTCCAGAGTAGAGCTCCCCAGACCTAGCAAGAGCAAGTGCCCCTAATGAGCCTCGCTTGCTGCTCAGCACAGGTGGATGTTGTTGTCTTTTGTTTCCTCCTCCAATCCCATGAGGCTTTCTGGTTTGCCCCTAGTGAAAAAACTGTGAAAAGCACTGAAACCTTTGTAGTGGGTTGAAGTACCCAGAAACTGAAAACATTCTGACCATGGAAGTAAATTAACAAAGCCATGCAAAGACTTCATTGAACTGTGTGGTCAGTAGGTTTTATCAGGAACTTCCCAACCAGAACTGCAATATCTGGATCAAAAAGAACTTGAACCCATTTGTTATTTAAAAGCAATTCCATGTGATATAGAATCTATGGAATAATTTTCATCTTTGAGCCAATGAGGAGCAAAGGTGTAATCCGTTTAAAGTGTAATTTCTGAAAATAATGTACGAGGCCCCCAGACCTTACCACAACTGACTTCATGATGGAAGTGTTATCCAGGCCATGAAACTCAGCGTGTAGACTGCATTGTCAGCCAAAAGGAAAACAAAGACCTAGGTCTTCAAAATCCATAGTTCTGTGAAGGCCTCTAAATGTACTAACTCTGCTTTCTGACTTCTTGTGGCTAATTGTTCTTGCTCACTGACACATGTCTACCCAGAACATGGATGCTGTGCTTGAAAACTAATGCTCAGAAAGACTTGAACTGCTCTAGGATCCTGAGCACCCAGTGTAATCACTGACCAGCTAATAAAGGATTACTATTGGCTTGAAATGATGTCCAAGCAGTCTTCTCTGGTATATATGTCATAGCATTTCTCGAGGTCACACTGTGATCCCCAGGATCTAGACCCTGAGACACTGTGTGTCTCAGAGCCCCTCAGAATAGGGAAGATTGCAGTGGTCAAGTGGTGAGTCAACCCATTTTTGCTTTTAAATGGACAGATCCAGAGGGAGGTTACAGCAGGCAACTTTCATGGACTCGATTTCCCCAGGAATTAACAAAATTCTCCAACCCAGTTTGATGAGACTCCAAATGCTGACTCCTGCCCTTCCATCAGAAGTTCCCCAGGAAAACAGATTATAAAAGGGCACCAAGGGAAAGCTGCAAGAGTTACAGACCTTGGTCTGCACATCGTCTGCTGAGAACTTTATATATCAGAGGCTACCTATCTTAGCCACTAGCTGAGAGGGGCAAAGGGAGCCCGTCTCAGAGTAGGATGGCCACCGTCCTTCAGATCCCAGCTCCAAAGACTAAGTGATAGGTTCATGAGTCTAGGTGCAGCTGATATTGTTGCCTCTGGATACCAGAGTTTTCAGGAATAGCAAGCCCTCTCTAAACACAATCACGAGAGAGGAGTGGCACTGGATCCCTTGTCTGGACTGAGACTACAGAAAAGACTTACATGCTTTAAAAGCAGTCCTGACTTTGGCTCCAGGCTAGCCCTTCCAGATGCCCCAAAACCTTTTCAGATGTCTCTCTATGAAACAAAAGCAGCTTTAACCCAAACACTGAGGCCATGGAAAAGCCCTGTGACATACCTGTCCAAATGGTTAGCCTCTGTAGTAGCAGGATGGTTCCCTGTAAGTGCTGTGGTGGCTACTGTTAGTATAATAAAGAAAAGAACAATAGAAGGAAGAAAGGAAGGGGGGAGGGAAGGAGGGAGCGAGGGAGGGAAAGACAAAAGGAAGAAAAGAAAGAAAAGTATAACTAAAAGACCAAACAAAACCAAACTACAAAGAAAAAAAAATGAGTTAACTGTGAATCAGAATCATATCCTCAGAGTACAATTTAGTTGATGCCCTCATCTGAGGAACACCAAAATGCTGTCTGTCTCATGCCTGTGTGACCCAGTCACAGGTCCTACTCCTGGACCACCCTCGAGGCTGGCTTGAGAAACTCACCACCGTCAGTCCTCCTACCTTCTTGCCGGATGCGGACTTGCAGGTGCTCATGTATGACTGTCACTAGGCTCATGGGAACTGCAGTGGTCACTTCAACCAAAATGATTTGGGTCCAAGCCAGGTTCCTTAGCCCAGAGGGCAGAATTCAGTTATCTGATCCAGGATCTCAGATGGGAAAAGGAAAGTACACCATGGTACACACACAGTCACTATGCTTTTACTGCCAGGAATGCCCACAGTTTGAGGGATAGAGAAAAGGGGCTTCTGATCACTGGAGAAAGAACATTCAGAACAAGGAGATAATCGTGTCCCTCCCAGAGGCTATTTGACTAACCCTACAAAATGTTCTCCTCCACTGCCAAGGACATCAAAAGAGACTCCCCTGAGGCAAGAGGTAACTGGTTCTTGACCAAGCTGCCTGGCAAATGGCCCAAGACCAATGGGGCTTGTTGATACTCTGTGGACATGACCTGACCTGGTGTTGTCTGAGAGACTTCATGGTACGACCGAGAAGAAATAGAGGGTGTAGAGAGAAAAAAATAGACAAGTCAAATATCTAGTCCAAAGGAAAAGATTATTCTCCCAGAAACAATTGTCTGGACTCTGGAAACTGACATTCACTAGGCTACTCATCCAAGATCTGAGAACTTTCTGAGACAAATATATAATATACCTAGACTTAGCAGCGTGACTCAGGATATTTCTGGCAGATGTCAAATCTCTGGCAGATGCAAATCCAAACCTGAGAGTGCTTTCTCAGGAAGGGATCTCAGTGAGGTGCCAACATTCTGACAAACTCTGGAAAAACTGACATCCCCAAGATCTGGCCTGCCAAGGAAGGATACAAGTACTTGCTAGCTTTTATT